AACTTCAAGGACACTGTCATATGCGAACGCAAACAACGTGAAAAAGGATCATTGCATCTACCAGCTAACGAAGGGACTTAATGCAAAATGTGAATACGAACTCAATACCAAAGAAGTCATCGAACAACTGAGCGAAAACGTTATCTTTTTGACTAATTTCAATGGAAGTATCATATGTAACAATTCAACAAGATATCTGCAAGGAAGTTTTCTATTAGGATATCAGAATAAATCTCTACAAATTAAGGAAAAACTGTTCAGTAACAAAGAAGTCAAAATGTCACAAATCTTACCACCAATTTTGCGATCGAACATTACTGAGAAGGGAATCAAACTCAACCTGAGATACCTGCACGATCTACATCTCACAAATGTCATGAAGCTTCAAACACTTTTCACGAATTCACAAGGCTTTATTGTCACCAACATTATCGGTTGGCCGATTATCATCATTATACTTTTGGTCATCCTACTCAAGAATCATCGCAATCATCGCAGGAAATGGGTCTTGCCTCCAATAAATTACACAAGCGAAACAGGCCAAACTGGATTACAACCTATCACCTTGAATTTCCAATCCACGAGACGCAGATCTTTGAAGGGGGAGAAGTTAACATAACAGCTAACAGCCAACATAACAGCTAATATGCTAAGTCAGCACTTTTACACTTATGGGAATAAAACTTCAACTAAATTCTCACAAAGCTTTGCACGCGCATCCGCTTTATCGTTTTTAAAATAATTTTCCCACATTATGAAATGTTAATTATGCTTATTTTGTAAAATCAATTATTTTAAATATCTAATATAAAATTGTTAACCTAAACTAAAAATTATTATAAATAATTTGGAATTAATATTGTAAAATTAGTCTTAAGTGAAACCTATGTCGGTTTAAGTTGAAAAATAAAATTATTTTTTTAATCTTATATAAATGGATTTCGTTAATTTCTATACATTTCCTTTTAGACAGTAACAAATTTATGACTTAAAAATTAAATTTAAAAATTATGCAAAATAAAACTTATTAGTACTGATACTCCATAAACTACTCTACTGTCAGGTTCATGTTTTCCATAATTGGTCCTATGAAAAAGAACCGTGAACAAGGGAACGACATCTAAAGTTAGCGTTAGTCACAATTTTATCTAAAATGTCGGGAGAGATTAAGTCAGTTTTAATAAGCTGAAAAGCTGAAATAACAAATCCGCAGCATCACGTCTTTTGCACTGTGAAGGTAAGTGAATTAATTTGGGTCTCTGATCATAAAATAGAAGAATAATGGAGTCTTGCCGGGAAAAAGGTGCAGTGCAAACCTCAAAAAAATTTTTTTAATAGAATAAATCCTGTTAATACACATATCGTAATAGGGTGACCATACTTGGGATGCATATTCAAGATGAAGATGGACAAGACACGTGTAGAGCGATTTTAAGACATAAGGAAACCCAACATCGGGCTTGATCTGTATATGATATAACTGTAGTGATTTTTGAATGATAACTTGTTATCGAAGCAAACACCTAGGTCCCTTATGCAATCAACTCGACTGAGAGCTTGGCCATTCAAAATATAGCTAATTAAAAATGGCCGTCTTTGCCTAGAGTAGTACATTGATTTTTAGGTTATTACTTGAAGCCTTTAACATGTGAATACACAGAAGAATGCAAAGATCTCATGGATAGACCACATTTCTAACATCGAAGTTCTAAGACACATGGGCGCAGAAGTTATTTCAATGCTTCAGCTTGCTTAAGTTAATTCACTTAGCAAGTATTCGAGATCAATTCAGCAATATCGTTGCAGGGCTCTGAAAACGTAAAAACAAAAAAAAATAGACATGTGATCGCTTTACATTCAACAATTGGATAATGGCAGCAGAGAGAGGGACTTGAACAGAAACCGTAAAAGCGGTTAAGATCATTCTGAAGACACAACGCATCATTTGTAGAGCTTATTTTTTTTTAAATTTTCATGTTATCAGCATATATTAATACCTCACTGTACGTTCGCATGGAAACAACATCATTAATTGAAATTATGAACAGCGGTGGACCTAAGTGACTACCCTGGGGTACACCAGAATTAGACAAAAGAGGCGAGGAAATTGCTGAACGAAAGACGACTCTGTAAGTCCTGCCAGAGAGATATAACTTTATCCAGACTAAGAAGTTATCAGGGAATTCTAAGAGTTTCAATTTTCAACCTTCATGTCTGTCCTTTCTAAGAACAGAAAATTAAGAGTTAAATAATTCATTTTTTTTAAATGGAGAGGGATAACAAAGTTTCCGTTAGAGCTTGAATACCAAAGTAAAGAAGAGAAGAGTTAAACAGAACGGTGTTAGTTTAAGTCCTTAGTCCACGAACATTTTGATAGTACAGAAAAAGTTATTTCACACTCCTTGTCATACTATTTCGAAAACCAGTTAATTAGACCAAGTTATTGTTGCTATGAAAGCTACTTGAACCCTCTAGAAGATTTGGCTGAAATCGATGGAAGAAAAAACTTGTTGTTTGCTTCTCTCATGCTCAGTAGATATTCAATCCATTTTCTTTTGATATGGTCCCTAAATGTTTGTAAATCTTTATCAACACTGGCGGCAGATATATTTAAAGTGTAGTGTCATAAAATCTTTTTAATAAATTATATAAAATAGTATAGTCAGAGGGAAGACCCTTACTTTCAATAAAAGCCTTAACACCTAATCTAGTTTTACCATCGTGGTGGATATTTTCTGCCGCGTCATGAAAATACGAGTATGCCATCTTAAGTAAGTAGGCGGTTGTGTCTGCAATAAGCGAGCATTGAGAAGGTTGTGAGTGTTGGGCATAGATATAGAAAATTGGGTGTTATAGCCATGAATGTTTTACACTGAATAAAATTAGAGTATTCAGTCCATTGTCAATATTTTTGTTCTTGTTATTATTTGTATCATTGCTATTGCCTTTCTGGTTAATTTCAGCATTATTGTTATTATTGCTATCGACATTTATGTCAGTATTACAATCATTTTTGTTATTATTATCATTACTATTCTTACAGCCTGATTGTCTATCTCGTTTTAAGCTCACTTAGTGAGAGAATAGTGAGGGAATACAATTTTGGTATTTTCTATTTCGGTTTTGGAATTCTAGTAAAAAGGACTGGAAGTTTATTATTTTTCTAGGAAAAAAATATGATCGCATATCTCGCCCCTACTTAAAAATTGAACAAAGAACTGTTATTTTCTTTCACTTTATTTTTTAGAGTGATAGCAAAATAGAGGCTGACAAAAAAGAAGTAAGTAAAATATTTTATGAAAGCATTTTAATAAAAATTAATTTTTTAATTTTGTTCTTAGAAAAAAACTAGAAGAAAACAATTAGAGTTGATGGTGGAAGAAATGGAAAACAATCCAGATATTGCAAAGAATATTTGCAAATTTGGATCTAGTAAAGCCGAATATGAAGGCTTTTGGGTAAACTTAACGGATTCCTTAGACAACATTGCTCCACCAACTTGCACAATAAAAGAATGGAAAAAGGTACATAAATGGAAATTACAAAAATAATTATGGTATAGAAAAAATGATCAAATATGTATAATTCAAAATATTTAACGTACTGTCAAAATACTTCGGAAATTTTTTTTCAATATATTGTCAAAATACATGTCAGCATACTGGAATTGACGTTTATTTCCACTCACATTTTTACTCACTCTCACTTTATATTTTGCGATATACAGAATACCAAATTTTTGCAAAAGCAGCGAGTGCATAAAAAAAGGCGAAACGAAAAGTGAGTGAAATAGACGATCAGGCCCTTATTATTATTATTATTATTATTATTATTATTATTATTATTATTATTATTATTATTATTATTATTATTATTATTATTGTTAATGTTATAGATATTGCTATTATTATTAATAATAATAATTATTTAAAATTTATCTTTACAACTCAAAAAAATATATATACACATTATATATATCTTGCTAAAAAAATTAATATTTTTAATATTTTTAAAAAATTGTAATACTGATAAAGACAACTCCATGATTTAACCACAAAGTGAAACTTAATTTTTTTAGAAAATTTTTCTCCATAGTCGCAAAAAAATATCTAAATTTAAATATTTTTCACTTTTATAAGAACGGAAGATAATAGATTTGATTGCAATGAAAATAAGACACTATGGTAATTCTAATATTTGCTAAAACATAAAATCTGACATTGTTAATTTGACGCAAAGGTGCACTGCATTATATAGGTTCATTTTGAGGAAAAACTGATTCTTCAATCACAGTGATTGACTCTGAATGTGATTGTCGGCACAAATAGAAAAAAAGCAGTAATTTCAATCACTTTTCTAATCGGTCGTAATTAAAAGAAACACGTTTTTATTAGAGAAGTTCTGTGACCATAACTCTTACTAACTTAACTTGAAACATGTACTTTCAGATACTGTAACAAAAGTCAAGAAAACAAAAAAAAAATCTAAAAAGCGCCATCATTTTACGTGGGCAATTTTTTTTTTTTTGACTGGGTTGAGGGATTGTAATTTTGTTATAATTGAATTCTTTGGCAAAATCTTGCAACACCATTTTTGAATAACGTTTACTCGAAATCTGGTTACCAAGATACCGAGCTGTATTAAAAAAACTTTATAGAAAGAAATATGATGAAGCAAATTTTCGATCAACCATGATTGACAATGATTACTCGTAGGTTCTGTTCTTCCTTTTCAAACATCTAAGACAAATACGATTCACAGAAAAGAGACTGTTTTTCTTTACTGTTCATGCTTCTACAAGAGCAAAAACAAAAATTACTCAATTTTATTAATTAATGCTGCTCTTCGTTGACAATTTTTTTTTCTGTTATAAACAAAAGGCTCTAATTATTTTTGATTAACCATTATTCTTAAATCATTTTCATAAAATCACAGACTGTAAAATCACACTTCGTCTCTATCCCTGACTGGAAGTTTGTCGCATCCCTGCATGCATAACAACAGAACAGCTGTTCCTTCCCAGTTATATATAATCAGTTTCTAAATTTAATTAGTTGATTTTATTTACAATGCTAAATATACTTTTAATGTTTAACAAGCTAAAAAAATTATATATTACATTTATTAATTTTTCTTACTAACCATGAATTCTGCCGTATCAAAAAGTAGCGAAGTTTCAAAAAATAAGAAGAATAAAAACGTTAATATGACATCAAACTTAACATCAGAATTGGCTGACCTAATAAAACGGAAGGCAGAAATTTCTGTATACATACATACATTTTAAAATATATGCCTAAATAATAATTAAAGTTTTCAGGAACAGTTAGCAAATTTGGAAAAACAAATATACGCGTTTGAAGGATCTTATTTGGAGGATACTCAGTTATACGGAAATATAATTAGAGGTTGGGATAGGTATTTGACAGCCAATAAAGGAACTAATTCAAAAGCGGATAAAAGAAATAGAAAATTTAAAGAAGCTGAGCGACTGTTCTCTAAATCAAGCATAACTTCAATGGCGATTTGTAACCCAGAAAAAGCAAGTGAATCTGCAAATTCAGCTGCCAATGAAGATTCAAGTGACAATCAGGTCAATGGAAATAACATTACAACTACACACGATTTTGAAATTAAAAGTGAAAATGAAAATAAACATTGTATATTCTAAATTGAATTTTAGAAAATATTAAATTTTTCCAAAATATTGGTATTAGTACCTGCCTACTTAAATTTTAAATACATATTTGTCAATATTTAATGCTATAGAACTTACAATACTATATCTTCTATCGATTGTATTACTGCTCTAAAATACTTTAAAAAACCAGAACCATCAGTATCACTGCTGACAGAAATGCAGACCTACTTTTAGACTCTAAGAGAGAGTGGCAATTCATAGCCGTCGAATTTACACTTAATCTTATGGAACCTATAGGGGAACGCTTTTTAACATCATAAATCTCGCATGATTAACAACTCTACCATAAGTTCCACTCGTAGAATCCTACGAATTATGAACATCAATAGCAGTATTTTATCATCAATTTCATCAAAATCAGTATTTTATTTCAACTATTAAATGTTTATATCTTTTGGTTGCTATTTCAGTAAACAAATTTCATACAAAAGAATATTTTTTAAAATATTCAATCAAAAGAATCAGCCCTATCATGAATTTCCCTTGTAAAATTCTAAGAATTACGAATTCAGGTACGACGTAGGCTTTTGAATGATCATAAATTCCTTTTGTTCGTAGTAATATCGTGTAAATTGTAGACTATTGAGATTACGAATATTCGTAATAGAATTTTAGTAATTCGGAAATGAGAATATGAAATTCGTAACTTTCCGAATTTCGGAGCTACGAACGAAATTCATGATAGGGCTGAATATTTTTTAAAATATCCACTTATATGAAAGTTTTGTAGTTTTTTTAATTTTTGAATATATTTGAAAAATGCAAAAATGGAAAAAATGGTGTCAGAGTATTTCAAACTCGAAAAAAAATCAAAATTAAAAATTTAATACAACTATTCTCTTTAAAATGCCGTGTTTATTTCTTTCGTAAACTTTTGTGGGTATTTTTTACTACGAACGTAATTTATTATTACTGCAGTACGAATAATCGGAGCAGAATTTTAGTAATTCTTAATTGATAATATGGTATTCGTAATTTTCCGAATTTCAGAGTTACGAACGAAATTTATGACGGTGTTGTAATTTTTTTCAAATATTTAAAAGTTAAAATTCAATCTTTTTGTAGTTTACTAGGGCTTACATATTTAGTTTTGTGTTATTAAAATATTAAAAAATTGATTTAAAAAAAACCTTTCTTTTTTAAGATTTCAACAAATGCTATACTACAAGAACAAACAATTGTGCCATTTTTTTTTTTGGAAGTGTTAAGTTAGGTTAGAGTACTTTATAATCCGATATGTACATCTCTACAAATCTTTCATTTGTATAATATATTAATCAAATTGATATGCTTCACTTTAAATTACTAAAATCATAAAAGTCATTACATGTTAAGGATACTTAAGTATATTAAAAGCAAAGTATATCTTCCTAAGTAGTTACTTTTCGTTTGCTTGCCACTTTCAAATTTTCAAAATATTCTATTTTTATTTAGAAATAGATGGTTATAAAAGAATTTTATTTTCCTTATACTTTATATGTGATAATAATGCACTTTCACGCCTTTAAAAATATATTGTAAAAACATGTGGACATCTATTGCGTACTCTTTCCCTCTCCCAAAAATTTCCATGTGTACAAAAATAAGAAGGTGTATTGCTTAACTCTTTTATCTAAGTGAATTTTTGTTATACAAATATTGGTGAGTGATCGAATGGTGTGATGTAAACACAGAGTCGAACTACTTGTTAAGTGCATAGATATACTTTGATTGTTGATATCAGATCTTCTAAAACATGGATGTCAAAAGTGCGGCCCGTGGGCCGCATGCGACCATTTTCTTATTTTGGTGCGGCCCTCTAAAACGAATTGTTAAAATATTATTATGGTTTTATTATGATAATCTACTTGCAATTCTACGATTGGCTACTACAAATATGCAACCCAATATTTTAAGACTTGTTCAACAGAAACAGTGTCACTCAGCTCCCAGTACTTCTAATAAAAAATAAATAAACGTTTATACACCTTAAAAATTGAATTAATTGTTTTATTTTGTGGCCCTTTTGTCATACAGAATATTGGAAATTGGCCCATAGTTTCAAAAGTCTTGACATCCATGTTCTAAAACGTTATACAAGATCTTTTTTAAAAATGCCACACGATGATCATGTACCCAAGTAACAATTTGAATGAGTAATACCTAAAAAATCGACCAAAAATCTCATAAAACCCTCATACCACACTCGAATACTCCATATTTTTTTTTTCTTTTTTTTTTGTTTTTATGCAACTCTCGTAAGGTTCTTACAATAAAAACTTAGCACTTGTAGTGTTAAAAATTTTGCTACTCTCATAGCAGTAGTCATGTGTCGTTCGCGAACAAACTAATCATAAAGAACAAATCACTTCACTGAACTTAGTTGACTAGTTCACTTCTTCAAAAATGAATCGTTCATCGTTCTCTAAGAATTCCAATTTTCTTTTTTAGTTATTAAAAAGAAATTACTGCATATACATTAGTAATTGATGTACACTTTATATTTTTTATTATTTCTTTCTGTATTAATATTACGCAATGCAAATAAAATTGAACGATATACTAAATCCAATACAAATAAAAACGAACGATATACTCCTATATGGAATATTGATAAAAGCAAATGAGAAGTAAAATAAATGAAATTCTATACACACAAAAGCGAACAATCAGTTGCCAATATAAATACAGTACAAGTAAAATTGAACGATATACTAAATCCAATAGTCATAAAAACGAACTATATACTCCTATATAGAATATTGATAAAAGCAAATGTAAAGTACAACGAACGAAATTCTATACATATGTACAAAAGTGACCGAATCAGTTGCCAATATAAATATAATACAGGTAAAATTGAACTATGTATTAAATCCAATAAAAACGAACGAGAACTGATCAAATATAAATAAAATGCAATTCAAATACAAATAAAATTGACCGAATCACGTCACACGTGCATTATAACCCATTAGGGATTAAATTAAAATATTAGAGTAAATTAAACAAAAGTTTAAAAAATTTGGAATAGGATTTTAAGTTTTTTTTGAGGATTAAAAATAAAGATAATTATAATTATTTTTATTCTATAAATTTCTTATAAGGAATAATAAATTTAAACTTAAATGGTTTAAAATTTTTATTTCTTCAAATTTAAAAAATTACCTACAATTTGTTATAACAGTTTTTTAAGTAAGTTTTAAATTTTTCTCTTCGTTTTAACCTTTTTGGTTTATATAAGTAGAGACATTTTGTGGTTCAAAACTTATTATTAATTTACAAACCCATTACATATTCTTTTCTTTAAAATTTACCATAAATACGAATAGCCATGTAATTATAACCAAAAAACCTACAATTATATATACAGAAGGAAAGTGAACGAAATGAACAATTGAACGAAATTTTATAATCGGTCAGTGAAAAAAAGTAGTTCGTTTATAGCAGAATTCCTAAGTATTTTTTATAAGATGTCAACTCTTATAGAATTTTGTTCTTAAAAGAATTCCTTTATAAGCAAATTTCGGAACATGACAAATAAAATATGCAAAAAGCGACGTAAAAAATATGTTTATAAATTCCTATCTAATTTATTATCAGTCAGATCTTATAAAATCATAGCTTTCGAAAAAAAGTCCATAAAAAATATCTAGAGTTAAGAGCATAATCAAATTTTAAAAAACCTGGTGTAAATATTATAAAAGGTTCTAATTGTTATAAATCAGTTATAACAAACCTACAACAAAATAATAACCTTTTAGAGTAGAGAATTGTCAGTGCCAACTTCATTTTATGTGTTCAAATGGAAACGAATGATGATATACCTGTAAACATTATTCGTTTAGGAATCCATTATTCTCATCAGAGGAATTTAATTCTCATAAATCTAGGCACGGCCATTTTAGAATTGCCATTTTTTCTTATCTAAATTTTAACCCTAATGAGATTGAGGATTTTTTTTTGGAAAGAAAATATTAAGTTTAAATTAATGAAATGCAAAATTATAGTTTTATTTGAATATAATAAAGCTTTAGCTGAATTTATGCACATTAGTATATTTATTTTTTGTTTTACAATTCTTAAATTTTAAAATTTATGTAAAAAAAAGAAATAAGATATTATAGAGTTAAAAAATATGCATAAAAATTTTTTAAATGCGAAGTACAATCCCAATTTTTGTCAATAAAATTTTAATTGATTTATAATCATGGCAAAAAACTTGTTTAATTTCCCATATTTATAAATTTATAATATTAAATTTTTGACTACAAATATTTATTGATGACATATCATATGCATACGTAAACATATCTATATTTTGTTTCATATTTTTTAATAAAATAATTGTTAAAAGCGGAATAGATATATTTTTTATAAAGTACGAAGTAAGTCCGATATATGTATTTATCCTACAATGTATTGCTTTCTCTTTCTAGTAACGCCGTTATAAGTGGCTTGCGAGATTTTTCGTAATTTTCATACTAATTTTGGTATGCTTTAACTCACTCTTACACTAGTTCTGTTATGAGAGTTTTATGTTTTAAAAACTCTTTTAATGGGAGCCTAACTCTCATTACAAGAATTAATAACTCTAGTGACTACGCTCTAAAGTAATTGTTCTTATAACGATCTTACTAGGGTCTTTTAGTATTCTACAAGACTGAAACTATAAGAATAATATTCTTTAAAAACTCTCAAGATGAGAGTTTTTAAAGAATATTCTATTGAGATAAAAATTGTTATAATCTTAAAAACTCTATTCTGCAAGATAGACAAACGCCATAATTTTAATTTAAAAATGTCAAATATATCGAAACTGCAGATATAATTTTAAATAGATACAGATACGGATGAAACTGAGTAAGATTCTTTCTTTATAGATATATAAAAATACTAATCTACGTGATTTTTGTAATCAAATTTGAATTTAAAAATATCAAACAAATTTTTGAAAGTGTAATTAATTTCAAAAGTAAAATGACTACAAAGTAATGGCAGTGTTAACTTTGCAGATGACGGTCATTTGCAAAAATCCCGCGCTTATCATATTACATTTTTCAAAGGGCTCAAGTT